ACAGAGACCACTCATTCAATGGGATAGTTCCAAGCTGGAAACGTGTCATATCACTTGTATGAAAATATACAAATATTGACCTTTGCTTTATTTGACTTTGTCAAGAACAAGTGTCAAAAAAAAATGGCCCCTGGGAAAACAGGTGAAGTAATTCTTGTGGAGAGCCTCATATTGCCAACAGCCTCACAAATGCAGCACATTTCTTATACTTTGATGATATTCAAACACTCCGCTAATATTTATTATGCTCCTACCATGTTCCAGATACTGTGGGAAAAATGATATAATTCTTCCTCTAAAGAGCACCATCTCCAGTAGAGGTAGACACACATGAAAACAACTTAAATTCTGTCATAATTAGAGAATGTCTTGGAATGAACAAAGAGCATGGACTGTGCATTCAGACAGCAGTAGGTTAAAAATCCCAGGCCTAAGACTTTGTAGCTGTGTGATTATACCTTGAGCATCTTTAATTTCTAATCTGTAAGTTGTGGATGATAATACCCATTTCTAGGGGATATTGTAAAAATTAAATGAGAAAATGCATAGTGCCTGGAATATAATAGATACATAATAAAGGAGATGAGAATAACAACTTGTTCCTACAACAAGGCTTCTCAAACTTCAATGCACATCGGATTGCCTGGGAATCTTGTTAAAAATGCAGATTCTGGTTCAATAGGCCTGGGGTGGGACCTGAAATTCTACATTTCTAACAAGTCCCCTGGTGATATCCAGGCTGCTTCTTCGAGCACTGCAGTTTCTGTATCAAGGGTTTAGTGATTATTTTGTTTTTGTTTTTATTTTTAAGTAGCTGATGCTGGAAGTTAATCCTAAAAGATGAGTAGGCCATCTAGGAAGACAATAGTCAGTGGAGAAAAGGGCATTCTACGTGTAGGAATGGAAGTAAAGGGCTTGCCAGTAGCATAGAAATCATGGAAGTATATGAAGCCTGGAAGGTGACCTGAGGAGAGAAATATGGAATGAGAAAGCACATCAAGACATAGGATCTTCTATGCGTTGCCAAGGAGTTATTTATCTTGTAGGTAATGAAGAACTCACAGAAGGATTTTATGAGTGATTTGATGAGCTACAAGATTTAGATTACCTGGGAAACAATTGGAGGCTGGGTTGGATAGGAGAATAATGGAATTCAGGAGGATATTGTTGTATATTTGGTGAGATATGAACCACTGCAGCAATGGCAGTATGAATTGAAAGGAAGTGAGAACTATGAGAGGCATCAGGATATAGAATTGATAAAACTTGGGCATTAATTATTAGGAAGGAAAGAGGACATAAAGTTTAAGGTTTCTGCCAGGTTTCTGATTTAGGTGACTGGGAGGTGATAATATTACTTTCTAAGTAATTCAGGAGGAAGAGAAGAGTTTATGGGAAAGAAAATGAGTTGAGCTTGGGAAATGTTGAATTTGTGTCACATCTAACGAAGTATCTATTAACAAAGTTGGAGTTATAGGAGAAGGGTGTGGAAACTGTCAGCTTATATTATGGTGGATGGAGTAATGGAGATAAGTTATGTCATTTAAGGAGAATGGTAGAAAGAGAGCAAGAAAAAACAAGGATAAAATTCTTATTCAAGTCAACACGAGCGGTGAGCAGAGGAAGAGAAACCCACACAAGAATTTGAGAGGAAACAATTAGAAACAGAAAAGCAGAATCAGGACAAATACTGTCAGAAAAGCCTAGGGATATGAGAGTTTCTAGAAGAAACTGATTAGCTGTGTAAAAATGCAGTTAGAGGTCAAATACATAAAGACTGAAAATTAGGAATTGGTGATATTTGCCAGAGCAGTTTCTGTGGAATAAAGTGTAGAAGAAAGTCAGATTGTGGAGGGCTAAAAACGAATGGAAGATAAGGAAGCAGAGATAGTGATATAAAATTTTTTTTCTAGCAGCTTCTCTACAATAGGATAATATTAATAACTAGTAGTCCAATATAGTCCCAAGGGTGGGTATTTCATTTAATTGATGGATTGATTGATTCATTTATTCCTTATCTAAAGCATACTTTTGGCTGCTGAGAAGGTGTGAATAAAAATAGGAGGTGAAGAGAATTACTACTAGAACAATGCCATTTGAGACTGGAAAAAATAACATGGAGCTGGGCACTTGTGCTGATGGGTCACTAGGTGTGGGGATGGATATCACATGCTTGGTAGCCCAAATCTGTTCTGAAATAAGGAAGGCAGGATCACTGGCTGAGCACTGAAGTGCAACTGCTCCTAAGGACTAAACTGTGTAATGAGGCGTCTCTTCAAACTTGTGTTTTTCTTCAGCAGAACTTGAGCTTCTGCTTGCATTTTCTTTGATATTGTCCATGAACCTTGTTCTTTCTACTTCAAAAATATAAAGGAGCATGTGTTTTTTAAATAGAGCATCCTCTGATATACTGATCTTTGGAATTCCAAATAGCAAGCTGGCCCTCTTCCCTCTGCACTCCATTCATCTGGTTTTCCAGTCGACAAGAGGAGATAGAGATAGAAAGATGGATTGTGTGTGTGCATGTACATACATTGTACTCTTTAGAGGTGATGACATGCATAGGACTATCAAAGAAGTCTTCCAAGGTTGCAAAATGAAAAATTTGAAAACTGCTACTTTTATTCATGTAGAATTCTACTTAGTACATACCTTTGAACTCTTTAATCCACATAGCTTTACATGTCAAAAATCTCGTGTTCATTTCACCTAGACAATCATGAGTCTTCATTTCCCTACGCCAGTTCTCAGCTAAAATTCATTCAACAATGAACTAACTTAAAATAGCAGGCTAATTTACCTTGTTGACTATCAGAGCAAAGGCCGGCTTTGGTTTTAGGTTTCAATCTTTAGGACATCCTGCTGAATTCTGGAGATCACCTCCAAGTAGAAATGCAAGTCAACCAGCTCAAAAATCCTTGTTTTCTTGGAGTTGGGCAGCAGGGGAAGATGGGAAGCAGAAATACAGTTTAGGATATAAAAATTCTATTTTGAAATGTGTCAACTGATAGAAAATATTATTAAATATTTTTGAATGAATGAAACACTCTGTAATGACCAATGTCACCTTGACCACTTCAACATGTACTTTTTAGTTAATTCAATTATCCTCTCTGATAGTCTTACCTTTTCCCAGTTTTTTTTTTCCAAAACACTTCTTAAATACTGAACACTACAGTTTTAAAATATACACAGGCATCTAATTCCTTAGGCATCTTGAGAATTTGCCTGAACTATACACTGTGAAGCTGATCCGTGACCTAGGAATGAGGTAAAGGAGACAGGTGCTCTAGTAAACAGCTTAGAAAGTGGTTATGCATTGTTTTTGCCTCCAGGTCAAACTCTGTGACTTTCCTGACACCCTGAAAAATATTAAAGCCCAACATTTTGAAGAACAGTTAGGAATGTTTTTAGGAGGATGCCAAAGGGCATAGACACCATGTTATGCCAAGACTGGAAGAACAAAAACAATCTAGAACTTGAGGAAGGCTGAGAGTTGTCTGTTTTAGTGTACTCTCAGATACATGTGAGAGACACCAGTTAAAATGATTAAAGGAAAAAGCAGATGTGTTGGCTCAGGGGCTCAAAGTATGCCATCAGAACTTAGTCTTTCTTTCTGCATCTCTTGGTTCTACCTTTCTCTCTGTTGGATTTCTTCTCAGCCAAGTTTCCCCCTTGCTTCGACTGTGCCACACTTACCTCCTATTACCCCAGCAACCCTAGGGAAAAAGGAGAATCTCATCTTCAAACATTTCCAACAGAAGTCCTGGATGCATTCATTGGTTCTAAATGACTTGGCTTTGGTCAAACCCCCATCCCTCAACCCTGGAGAAGACATGGTTGAAGGAAAGATGATTGTTTAAGGAAAACCTTTGTGCTGTTCCCAGGCAGGCAAAAACAACAGAGTCCTATATTGCCTTTGTGCACGCGGTGGACTCTCATGTGAATAAGGGTATAAACTTCTGTGAGGCCCCAGAAATGAGAAATAGACCATTTGCATGAACCTCACAGGAAAGCAGATTTCAGCTTACTCCCAAGAAGGATCTTTTCACAACAGGTAGAACCATTAGGAGTTGAAATGGGCTGCCTCAAAGTGTGCCAAGTACCAGGTCCTTCCATTTGTTCAGGTATAAACCATATAGGCAGCTGTCAATAGTGTTGTATAAAGAATTCCTACATTAGGCAGAGCTTTGCCTGCATGACCTGAAAGGTCTCTTTTGACGCTACAATTCTATTATCCTTGTTAATTTCCACAATTCAATTTGTAGTACAGCATAAACAAACCAACCAAATTTGATCTGAAACTTCTGCAGGCTATCATAGGTCATTTAATCTAAACCACATGGCTGTAGCCATTACTCTGTTTTCTGAAGTCATCTAACAGACGTGGTCCTTAACAAGGTCTCCATGTTATTAGTTTCACTTATGGCTTTTTCCAGCCTCCTGCTTATTACACAATTGCTTTTCATTCTCCTTTAGATTGACATGGAGAAGAGCATGAAAGAGTTTTCTTCTTTCTGCCTTTCTCTTCTTAAATCTTATAATAGGTGGGTCCCAATTAAAATTACACTTTATATTTTTACCTCCAAATTTGGCTTTCACTTGGCAGGTTCAAGAATCTATGAGAAACAGGAGCAGGGGCCATGGAAAACCATAGCTCTAAACTTTACTGAGGCAAATTTTCAAAGAAGAAAGAGTGAGATTTTTGAATTTTTGATATTAAAAATTAATTTATAAAGTAAGTTTAATATATTGCAATATTGTTAGAATTAGGGTACCAAACCACTTGAACCATACTCATGAAGAAATAAACACATTTGTGTTAAACAGGATTTGCTTCTTTCACAACTGAAAGCACTCCCTCCCACCATATACATATATACTCTGTTCTGCTTAATCTAGAAACGACATGTTACACAATCCAGCCTGCAAATAAAATTTTGTTTTTGCCAGAGTACATCCATCCTTAATAACTGATTATGTTTTTTTATGTTTTTCAGTGAATGTTGTGTCAATGCTACAAGAATTTTGGGAAAGCAAGCAGCAGCAGAGAGCTGCATTCCCAAGTGAAGGCGTGGTGGTCTATGAGTCGCTGCCATCTCCAGGACCTCCCTTTGTGAGTTATGTGACCCTCCCAGGGGGAAGCTGTTTTGGCAACTTTCAGGTAAGAAACAACCATAAATTGGTCAGTAAAAGTTAACTGGGTTAAAATAGAGTAAGTCTTTTTATAAAATGGTAATATTATAAGCTTTCTTGGTTGTAGTGAAATGAAAGTTATGTTGCATTCCATTAAAATGGAAGTTTTTATATTAGAGTGTCCCCTGATATTTCTTTATGGAAAATTAATTTTATATCACTTTATTTGCCTGATAGTTGCTGCCTTCCCTCAAAATATTTTGAAATAAACCATAAAGAACAAGGAAACTTCTATAAAGTCTTCCATCAGGGCCCTTCCATCAGTAGAAAGTCTCCACTTCCTTGAATTTTGAATCAAATCCTAATCAATCTACTATACACCAAAGCATGAACCAACAGCAAAGGTTGAGACTCACAGGTTTTGGGTTCAGGCACCCATGCTAAGTCCAAGTTCTATCTCTGAATAACTGTATATCCTTGGGACACTTATTTAACTTCTTGATTTCCCTGACTTTGAAATGGGGAATAATATCCATGGTGTTAGTTGAAAGTCATGAGATATATATGCAGTGTATTTATCTGGCACGTACTAGGTATTCCAATTATTTTTTTTGATAATTATTATAAAGACTCTTCTAGTTGGTTAAATCTTTATTATGTCTATGATAAGGGTAATGATGATACATTTCTAGTTGTATACCAACTCACACAAAAACATTGCCTATATTAACCATTAACATCTGATTGTCCAGTGTATATGACATATATTCATTCAGTGACTAGGAAATATCAAGCATTGGGCCAAGTAATGAGAATATAGTCCATACCTTGAGGAAATCAGTGTGCAAAAAAATTAGAGTAATCAAACAGAGTTATATTTGAGGGTCAATGAAAGCATAAAGAAGAAACTTCTCAGTTTATAAGTACTCCTTTAGTGCAGTAAGCTATCTCTCAATTTTCAATAACTGGCAAAAATGTCTTATTTATATTTTATGGACAATATGCTCAACAAGCATTCAAGTGTCCCTCATAGATTTGGTAACAGAAGCAAATTTCCAGTTATGTTGTCTTGGTAGTGTAAGTCTACAAAACTTCATGTCATGTAATTTTTTGGACTAATGTCATACTTGATATTATTTATATTTCTACCTTTACTCTCCCTTTGAACCTAGTGTGCCTCACTCATTTATTTTATCCTGTTACTGTGTATCTATTACATGTTATTTCAAACCTTTATGAAGTCAGGGGAGAATATAGTTTAACAAATGGACCTACAAACCTATGTCTGACTCAGATAAGTCAAAGGATTTATGGGGAATGCAAGCACAAGCTGAAATATGCAGTTGAGGGTATCTTTGCTAGTCAGTATAGGGGACATGATCATCCTAGCATAGGGAACAGCATGTGAAAAGGCCTGCCTCAGAAAGAGAAAACCACCAGCACTTTCAGAATTTGGGAAGCCTGAGTACGTCTATGGCAGGGACGTGGTAGGAGATGACGGGTTAGGCCCACATATCAAACCATAATGGGTCTTTATGCTCTGCAAAGGAGAATAGGTTTTATTCTATATAAAATCAGAACCCCTGAAGGATTCTGAGCAGGAGACTGATGTATTCAAATATGTTTCAGAAAGATTATTCTAGCAGTAGCTTGGGGCTAATTTTAAGGCTAATTAAAGAACTATTTTCAAAACTTCTGGCCCAGCCAGCCACTGAGGTCTTGCTTTCTCCTACCCTGAACATTGATCAACAATGGACCTCTGTTTGACCTCTGACTAACAACAGTGAATTGCCTGATGAGGGTGATTTGAAAGTGGGTCTAGAAGCCTCAAAACAGAGCTTAATACAGGCTCCTGGGTGGCTCAGTTGGTTAAGCGTGGCCAACTCGGTTTTGGCTCAGGTCATGACCTCAGGACTGTGAGATCAAGCCCTGCATCCAGCTCTACACTCAATGGGGAGTCTGCTTGAGATTCTCTCTCTCTCCTTCTGCCCCTCCCCCTGCTCATGACTTGTCTCTTTCTCAAATAAATAAATAAATAAAACCTTTTTTAAAAAAGCCAAAAAACGAAAACAAAACCACTGAGCTTAATATAACCACAGACAGACAAGGATGAGGGGCAGGAGACGGGGAAGAAAGGCAGCAACCGAGGAAGGGGTTTCCTAGTCCACGTGAGCCTGCAGGTCCATCATCAAGCATTGTAAGGTGAAGCTGGCCTACTCATACAGAGCTGCCATCAGGCTTCCCATTCAGGGGGGGGACTTCTGGGGAAACAGACCTATTCAGCCACAGAGCAAGGTCTTGCCAGCCAACTGAATGATTCTCTTTGTGCATGAATGTCAATGGACTAAAGACCACCAAACATTTGAGGAAAACCAAAAACAAAAGAGAAAGGCCAAGTCAAACAAACAAAAGAATATAAATAATTCAAGCCACAGATGACATAAGAGAGGATTCCAGTGAGTATCCTCAGAAAATTGGGGGAGGATATTTATCGAAAGCAGCTATGAAAAAAGGAGAAAGCAGGGAACAAGAAATGTAAAATACGACTGCCAAATTGGAACAATAAAAATAAATAAAAGAAGAGCAAATAGATGAGTGGACATAGGTCACAGCCAAATTAGTGGAGATGACAAAATAAAAAATAAATAGTAAAGTAAATCTTTTAGAACAAAGAGCAAAAAGACAAAGAGATGGGAAAAAAAATAATACAGGAGACATGGAGATAAATCCTGGAGGTAGACATTAATAAGAGTTCTAGAAAGAGACAAAGGAAACAGAGGGGAGGAAATAAATCACAGGAGCAATTTTCTTTCCCCCCCCCCCAGATATTTATTTATTTATTTATTTATTTATTTAAGGGGGTGGGGAAAGGAGAGCATGAGTCGGCGGGGGAGGGCCAGAGAGTAAGGAAGAGAATCTCAAGCAGACTCCCCACTGAGCTCGGAGCCCCAGGTGGGGCTCAGTCTCACAACCCGGAGATCATGACCTGAGCTGAAACCAAGAGTTGGATGCTTAACCAACTGAGCCACCCAGGCAGCCCAACAGAAACAATTTTCTTGAGTTAAAGAAAAGCATAAATTTTCATATTGAAATGGCCACCGTATTCCAAACAGGATCATGACGAAAGAATCACAGAGCTCCATGGCTGTATGGGACTTAAGGACAACATTCTGCTTAAAAGATGGATGAAGGTGCTTTTTTTGATACTAGATTTATAATTGATCTCTGGTTTGGTTTTTAGTTTTTAATTTTATTTTAATGTAGATTGAATTTTTATGTAAGATAGCTTTGGAGGACCTGATGTAATAGGGCGAAAACTGGCAAACCCAGTCAACAAAACCAAACTATTTTTTTGAAAAGATAAGAAAGAAAAATCTTTGGCATTTCTGAGTAAGAAAAAAATGCAAAGCATATACTACACTAAGCATGATAAAAGGAATGCAATTATAGGTGTATGCTATAAGAATACTACATAAACAGGGGCGCCTGGGTGGCTCAGTTGGTTAAGCGACTGCCTTCGGCTCAGGTCATGATCCTGGAGTCCCGGGATCGAGTCCCGCATCGGGCTCCCTGCTCGGCGGGGATTCTGCTTCTCCCTCTGACCCTCCTCCCTCTCATGCTCTCTGTCTCTCATTAAAAAATAATAATAATAATAATAATACATAAACAATTATATTAAACAACAGAGATGAATTGACTACTTTTTGGGAAGTCTTTGTGTTTATCTATGAAACTCTTCCGTAAGTCTAAAATTATTTCAAAATTAAAAGTTAAAAAAAAATCTTCAATGGCTCCCTATTACCTTCTTATTAAAGTCTAAATTCCTTACTCTTTCAGCTTTATCTCCCTGAATTCCTCTTCTGACACTCAGTGCTTCATCCTAACTGTTCCTCATTCATGCCTTTACTTCTTCTAGCTGCTACTTATGTGCATGTTCTGTCTCTATAATAAAACATAAATGTCTCAAGGATAGGGTCTATATCCTTATATACCTATGACTCCAAACACTGTGCTTTGCATATAGTAAGTGCCCAATAAATTTTGTTGAATGAATAGCTAAATGAATGAATAACAAATCTCAAAAATCAATGGAGTTTATATTTGTCCATTATTGTATATAATCACTATTGATTGATGTACAAAATAGTATGTACTATTATATACAATACATCAAATAAGATATTTTACCTAACTGTAAGATGGTGGGCTGGCAAAGAAAAGTCAGGAACATTAAAATCGGGTAATATTATTATGTTCATATCTGTGGTTTAAAGTTTTAAAGGTGGATTAACTTAAAAATATTGATGTAAAAAAACATCTAATTCTCTCTGAATTTAATTTGTGCATAGTAACTTTCCTTCTACCCAATATCCATGACCAAGAATAAGCAAGATTTGGCCATTCCCTCACCCAAGTGTGCATTATGTTTGTCTATATGTAATAAATGCACTCATTATAATCTCCTAGAATGTAACATATTTGACAGAGCAGTGAATGGATCTAGAGGATATAAATTTAAGAAATTCAAATTTCCTTGTTTTTGTTTTTGCTTTCACTACCTTGAGAATTATGAATTTCCTAATCATCTCATAAATTTCTACTCAAAATGATAGGACTTCCCCTTGATAGTACATTCAACATCCTCATTGTGGTCTTTGAAAAATAGAAGACAAAATGAAAAAACTGAACTCTTCACCAGGGAGGCCTCTTGGTGATTTCTCCAATCATTTCAGGGTCTCCTTTACCTTATGTTTAAATCATTATATTTTAAAGTTCTCAGGAGGATTGTTAACATCCTTGCTTTAAAAGATGCAGAATTTCCTGAATCAAATGTTTTGAAAATGTGTTTGGGTGATTGGCTGACAAATCTGGCCCCTTAACCCCTTTGACCCTCCAAAATATGATTTGAGAAAGGAAAATCAGGAAGTAAAAAAAGGAGAGAAAATTTCTCCTAAAGCAATGTCCTTACACTTTTCTTTGTTCAGAAACCATCTTAAATGCTATTTTCACCATATAACATTTCATCAT